CAATCCACCACCCCAGACCCCAACCGGACAGCCGGATCTCCTTCCTAGCCTCCAGCCCCAGGAAGCCAAGTGACAACAGAGGTGTGCTAAGACCCCTAGTCTCCCTCCGCCTGCTCCAATATAGTGTTAGTGAGTGTTGATGAGGTGTATTCCATGGCTGTGGTGAGCGGGCAGTGCGGGCATCATCTGGCCTACGCCAGCTGATGCCACCACACCACCCCACTTGCACCCACAGCCATCTGTGTCTAAGTGCAGTTTAAAATTGGAAGTGGGCACCGGCACTCGGGATGAGGCTGAGAAATCCCCCTGCCAACTGCCGTTGAATGTGCTCACTCCCAAGGCCCTAAGTGTGTTTTTGCGTGGAATGTTGTTGCTGTAAGGTGCAAATAAAATTGGGGGGCAGGTTGCCACAGGAATGTGGAAATGGAGTCCATACCCGCACTCCCTGACTTCTCCACCCCCTAAGGTATCCTATGTGCATGATTGTGTGATGATGTGAGGGAGCAGGAGGAGAAAATGTTCTCAGCGTTCTCCGATGATGCAGTCCCATGTGCGATCCAACGAGTAAACTCCATCGTCTCTGTTCATGGTCCCACATCCACGTCTCCTTATCTCGACAGCTTCTTTTATCCATCTTTTGTATTTCTGTGCATCATCGGAGAGGGGAGAGTTGGCAGCAGAGGGCGTTGTCGCCCTCTGCTGCCCGCGGATAAATGAAGGAAGTGATGCCACCATCGGCCTCAGCCTGATGATGTTTGCAGCCGCAAACGAAATGTTGCAGGCAATTAAACCTTTTCTGTGTTTTAAAAAGAACTGAAAGATGGGTTTTGAAACCAAACACAGCAAGAACACACCAAAGAACCCTTACTCTTGCTAGGTCAAGCCACAGATCAGCACCTCTTGCCAATATTTTTCACCTTGTTGTTTCATGTCTGCCAGTCTCCATGTGTCAGTTTATTTTTAATGGCTTTGTGTCTGTTGAATTTTTATAAATGACTGTTTGCTTTTGCATTTCTCAGATTATGTGATTTGAACCCTTTAGGGGGCCAATGTCTATATTTAGACACTTCCACTCACATCATAAATGATGTCGGTGTGCCTTTTCACGAACTCTTAGACTTACGGGATTTCACCCAAACAATCATTAGAGATCAAGCTAGTCACAGTTTGCGCCATGATGCCATTCCACCAATCAGTGCAGGGCTATAACGCGTCATACTGGTGTGTCTGCAGAGCCAGAAAACTGCTCGGTCTCCTCTCGTGTTTACGGTCAGATCTCTAAAACTAATAATGCTAGGTTTATGAAACTCTCACATCACAAGGTTGGCTAGTTGTGCTAAATAAGGATAAATGTATTGTAAACGTTAAACACAACAAAGTTGGTGCAATCTTAGCATGAAAATCAAATCTGCATATTTGAACATATTATAATGATGAATATTTTTTAGGTAAAATCAGTTCTTTTCTTAGACATAATCTTAATATTCATGGTAACAGTAATAATAACAATTATGATACTGAATATGTTTAGCTGTTGTAAACTAAGATTTCTCTGGAAAATGGAGGACAGTTATTGCACCAACCAACCTCGTCATCAGTGATGATGATGAACAGGAGGAAGATGACCCTCAAGGCAGATTCTCAAACATAAAATATTCTAAAATATTCTAATAATCAATGTTTGATCAGAAATAGTATCTGTTATTCAATAACTTTTCCTAAAAATTCCACAATAATCTGTTTTTATACTATGTAGTTTAATAATTGTAAGTAGGTAAATGTTATTTAAACAGCACTTATCACAGACATAGAATCACAAAGTGCTTCACATATATCAAAACTAAATAAAACAAAGTCATAAAATCATAATGATCTCAAAATAGAAATAAATTTACATCAAAAAGTCATAAAATTATAAAATTTCATAAACAGATGGAAGATTACAAATTACAGTTAAAAATTACAAAATATAATCAGTATTTTTGAACAGTGATATAACATTTAAAACTAGCTGGATCATTCTAACGTTTCTTAAAATTATCTATATTTTTCAAAAAGAATGTTTATTGAACTTGTTCATGTGTTTTATTTTGGGATTTCTTTTACCAGAACAGCGCCAACGTCCATATTTCATCACTTAGTTTTCTCTGATTTTCTGCAGGAAAATAAATATTTTAGAAAACTGTAACAACAGAAATACATTTTAGTTATTGACTACAATAACACCCTGGGGTAGAAAATTTTAAACATTTAAAATACTTCAACGAGTGCCCTGAAAGGTCAATGTCATGTCTGCTTTTTTTAGATCTGGCTTTAGTTTTTTAATCTGATTTTGCATCTCTCTTTCTCTTCTTCTCACTTTGGTTTTATGTGATTTTGTGTTGCTTTTAAGAGACTTTTGTATTCGTTTTGACCCATTTCTATGCAGTGTACTTAGAGCGTGTACGGGGACCAGATTGCATTAAAGAAGCAGTCAACACCTCACCAGGAAAGATGCTGCAGAGCTGACGTAGAACACTTGTCAGAGACAGGATGTTACATCAGCTGGGACTTAAATGGACTAGATTTATGTATTTTACAGCAGATTTTTTTGAGTGCCATAACACAACTAATGACCACTTGTGTTACTTCAGTAGCCTGCCCTTCACTGATGACTATGGAAATCCTGCTTAGGACTTGAAAAACTTTACAGACTGAATTAAACTCCGCCTCCTGGTAGTCTGGTGTTTGCTTGGAGGTCAGGCTGGATGTAAAACTGTCCCTCTGATTCATCTGAAGCTGGAACATGCTGATAAACACACCTCATAGCAGAGTTTATAACCATGAGCACAACAAACATGCACCAAGAGGACATACACCATGTGGTAAATGTAAAATGGAAACCTGATCTACATCTTAAATACATATTTAGACAGAAAACCATTTCCATCACACAGAGGTGGCAGATGGAGATGAGAAGGAATTATTCAGGAATGTTATCCATTGTTTTAGCATTTGTTTTATGATCATTTCATAATTCCATGACTTTGTTTTTTTATGATTTTAATGTATTTTATATTTGCTGTTTTGTTTTTAACACTTTGATTTTATGACTTGACTTATGTTTTGTTTTCTTGATCTCTGTGAAGCGCTTTGTGATGAATGCTACAAATAAAGGATCTGACTGATGACGTCTGTGAGAGGCAGCTAAAACTTCTGGGACAAGAAGGAATCCTTCAGCCAAGACCCCGCTGAGGGCTGGTTTTATCCATCTCTGTGGTAAATGTTGCACTCCATGGCCAACGCTTCATCACAATTTGTTCCTAAACTACTAGAAAACAAGTCAAATACAATAAAAGCACTGCTCTGTCAGACTGTGGACATCATTAATTACTCCCAGGCTGTGGCTCAGTCCAGCCCGCCCTCCAGCTGGTGGGAACCTGGGGGCGCATACACACCAACACAACCCTCAAAGGAATTCAGGCTGGCATCCTGACCTGCCCCGACTCACGGTGTGGACCGACTCCAGCTCTCTGAGTGACGATGGTGATTATCTGCTCAGCTCCCTCGCTGTGCTGTGTGTGCATGTTTTTGTTTTGGGAACTCGCTCCCAGGCTGCATGTGATGTATGAGGTCTGGCTGATCTCCAGGAGCCCACATTGTCCATCTGCCTGACTTTACTGCAGTCACACACAGCCGATGTATGAGTATGTGAATGTATGGAATGAAATTCCCACCAACAAGGCACCAAATGTTGTGATGTCGCAATGAGAACAAATTTTTAGCTATAAATATAACATTTTAAACAAATCTTAGGGATACACTGTATTCTTTTAATCTTTTTTGAAATTTTAAATCTTTATTAGTCAACAAAACATTTTTAATTGAGCTCATTTTCTCTTTTGTTACCTAAAACAAAAATATTTAAATCTTTATTCAACCAAACCAGAACTATGAAGGAATTTATTATTTAGGATTTTTTTAACCATCTGCCCCTGAACCAATGGCGTTTCCCATGTGGCAAAAGCTAATAGTAAATTACCTTTCATGGGTGGTAGGCAGAAATTATCTGCTTTCAAATTGTTGCCATCTGACTTCAATTTACTCTTTGAAAATAAACACAGAAGTGTTACCGCCTGTAATTTCATCTTGAAAGCACAGCTGCTTTATAACAAAAGCATCTTTTACCAAACTAAGAGCCGGGGTCAGTGACGCAGTAGTTTTATGAATGTACGCAAGTTATTGTATGTTTCTGTAAATCTACGACTTATTTATTAGATAATACATTTTTCCACCAGTTCTTAAAAAACACAGATTTCAGTTCATGGAGGTTTGCAGATTTTTTTTTTTTTTCGGTTTTAGATCATCTAACATATCTTTGTGCAGATGATGAAAGGGGGGGTGGGGGGGGGTTAGAACACAGACCATTCACCCAATTGATCTGGTTGCAAGTTTCCTTTTGACTTCATTTATCATTCATACTATATGCCAGAATTATTTTTTCACATCTAAAATTGTTAACTGCTTACCAAATATTGGAAAGATTCTAAATGAAATTGAAAACCTTGTGTTCTACCGCAGAATAGCCACCGGAGGGCGACATTTGGCCAACACCGGTTTCCTTAAACAGAAAAAGAGCTGAGCAGCAACAAAGAAACACTAAATAATCACGTTAAAAAGTTGGAAAGATAAAATACATGTTACATTTATATCCACACATTAAATGAAATACTGACTCATTCTCTAGCAGCTGGTTTTCTTTTGTAATTTAATAAACAATGGTATTCCGTATTTTTTAATTATTAAAAGATGTCATTTAGTATTTAGTTTTTTTTAAATATGCTGTAATTTGATACATTTATAGTTATATTATATAGTTATAACAGTAAAGAGAAATGTTGACTGGACTTTTCTATAAACAATAGCGTGATAGTAATTTGTAAAGGATGGAGCCCTTCACATCAACATAACTCCAGCTCCAGGTAATAATTGAAAACCAAAGAATTCAGAACAGCTAGCCATTTTATAACAATTTTATATTTTTTATTGATTATATTAAACCAGAAAGATAAGCACTATAACATACGTTACAAGCCAATAACATTTTATACCTCGAGGAAAAACTCAAATGACTTTGAAAAGTAACACTAAAGGGCATAAACATTCTTTAAATAACAGAACTGTACACTTTTAAGCAACAAACAAAAAACAACCTTGAAAAATACAAATAGTCTTGACGTTGAGACCAGATGACAGAAAACAACCACAGGCAGAGTAAAGTGAGCTAAAGCTAAAGAGAATTGATGCAGGAAACAGCTGGAATATGGAAAAACAAACACAGTAAGGCAGCAGAAGGCAGGCAAAAAGACAGCAGGAAAACCGGCAGGAACGAGGAGGGAAAAGAGAAAGAAAACCTCAGAAAAAGCTAAATTACACCACAATGTGTCTCCAGCTCCCCTCCCATCGGGTTAAAGAAATGAAAGGAAGTGAAAGTGGATGTAAAGTAAACCGACAGATATTACGACTGAATCTTTCATGCACAAAAACACCCCACAGGCTACACAGTGACAGTCTGTAAAAACAAAAAACTGCGTTCAAACTCCTCTGTTGACGAACCGTTCACAGTGGACACGTGTAATATCTATCAAATTTGATCCCTCACATTGTGTAGGTTAGAAAAAAAACGAGCCATGCTACGCTGCATATTGTGCAAGCTGCACCTGTTCAACAGGTTTCACTCTGGAAAAGTTGCATAGGTAAAAAAAAAAGCAAACATGAAACACCAGCTCTTGTTCAAAAGGGACACTAGGGGGCAGTCAATGCCCAGAATGGCTGAGCTGTTACATAATCTACTGCAGGTAACTCTTTACAAAACCTCACAGGACCCAGAAACAAAAAATCTGTCTCTCACAACAAATTATAGCTGCTGATCAGGAGGTGTGTAAATGCACTAATAACACACACACACACACACACACACCTTCCTTTCCCGTGGCTTCATGCAACTTCTTTGGGTTTTCAGGAAAAAAAAAAAACAATGTGAACCAATTAGTGCAAAGAAAACTTTAAGTGCAGTGTCCACACCATCTACTCTCCGAATGCGTCGCTCTGACTGTGCAGCCACATGGGGACACTTCACTAAACTCCAGAAACACGCGGACAGAAGCCGACAGATGTAGGATGAAAATCCCTCCACAGTAGCACAGAGCATGCCCTTATTCACAAACAGGTTATAAGTACGGTACAAGCGCCTTTACACGTCAGTACAAAACAAAAATCATACGCAGTGAACGTACATTTAGGTATCCAAACACAAACGTACAAAATAAAAAGTGGGACTTTAATGTTCAATTGTCTCAGTGCTGCCTGAGTTACACAAACAAGTCCATGTTCATCCAAATTGCAAGAAAAATATATCATTTAACAAATCTTAGAATTTTATTTCTCTACTTGAAATTAAAAATATTAGTAATATTTACTTAATACAATCTCATCTTTGTAAACAGTTTGCCCTTCTTGTCTTGTTTGAAAATGAGACTAAAATCTGAGGCCTACGTAGGAATATATACATTTATATTAAAAACCTGCAGAGAACCTTTCAAAATGTTCAGACATCAAATGCAAAGAAGCATGATCTGAGGACTTGAGTTTCCTCTGGACTGTTCAGGAGTCTGGCTTTGAGTTTTCTAGAAGAAACCCGTCGGCGGTCGCTGTTCCAGCTGCGAGCGGTAGCTGGAACTCTGCGCTGGGCTCCGCTTCTTTATTACAGCAGCGAGAAACGTAAATTATGTGTTGGCATTTCTGCTTCTCTTCTGCACGGTGATGGGGTTGCTATGGTGTGTAACCATGGTTATAGTGTTTCCATGGCTTCAGAGAGGAGGAATATGGGGCTGTGAGCTGGTGATGAGAGAAAAACACAACTCTGGATGGTCGCTTGTTTGTGTTTTCCGTTTTGGTTTTCAGTAGAGGCCGTCTGCAGGGAGCAAAGACTCAGAGCTGGACCTGCATCCGATCCCAGAGCAGATTTCAAACACACGGCTGCATCGTTTTAAACAATCTGACAAACGTGAGCACAAGCATGCATCAGAAGCAGGTGTAAACAGTGTTCACGAGTCTCCCTATTCAAAGATGAAGAAGTCAGTCTGCAAGCTGCTCGTCTTTCACATTTCATGACTCTTAGTGGTGCTGGATGCATGCATGTGGCCGTTTCCACAGTGTGTGGCATGCATTTTAAGATTTAGACACTTTTACACTGTAAATCCGTGTGTGTGTGTGTGTGTGTTTTCTGTCTTAAACTGGGTGAAGCTCTTCATATTCAGAGTCTGTCGCTGCGGAAAGTATCCTCCACAGATGGGTCCGGCAACACCATGTCGGGATCACTGAGCATGCTCAGACCGTCCAGGCTGAGTGGCTCGATGCGCAGCTCGTCCTCCAATGGGAAGCCTCCCTCTGAGTCGAAGCACTCCGGTACAGTGGAGAGGGCGTTGCTGATGTCCTTCGACAGGCTCGGGTTAGAGTCATCTGAGACACAAACAACAGACGGCGGTGGGTGAAAACACTTCCTCATACTATGGCCGCCCTCATCATTAGTCAGGATGGATCTTCCTCCTGAGTTTAAAAGTGTGGAGCTGAAACTTTAGCTCTGATCAGACCAGCAGCACCTACAGGAGAATCAAAGCAAGAGCCCGAGGCAGCAGAGTCAACTACTTCATCTCCCTCCGGTGGGAACTGCCAACTCACTACAGAAGCTTCGAAAAACAAGCCGCCCTCTTTATGTCTCAAACTCCAACAAATGTTTACTTTTAGAAGAAAAGTACAATGTAAACACTTCAGATGCCAGGATAAGGTCTGTCAATGACCAGCCAGTAAAAATTTAGAGTAATTTTAGCTGCTGCTGTTTGGACCGCTGGCTGTAAAGCACATAACACACAAGCTTGCAATATAAAGCAGGACAGCACCAGTCCCCCTCCAGCTCGGCTGTGTGACTGCACTAACCTGTCCTGTGGGACCCTCACCATGTAACCCTCATGTCCATGCTGTCTCTGGAGGAGCAGATAGACAAGTCTCCTGTAACTTCAAATGAACCAAAGCTTCCTCCCAGTTTTTCTTTAAGCTGAATTTAACATCAGTTTATCATCATGAAACTAAAGAATAAAGTGGAACAAGAACTTCTTTCTTCTATTTCTCTCTCCTTTTAACTTCTCCGTGACAGATGATCATGTTGCAGCCGCTGTCACTGACCCCGCCCCCTCCCCAAGACCGGATCTCCCGACATCACAACGCTCGGTCTGACTGAGCGCTTCCAGGATAAATAATAATGAAATTATGAAAATAATAATGCGTGTTTGGAGGAGCGTCCGCCGATCCTCTCGTGTGAGCAGACAATCTCCCACTCTCTCTCTCTCAGTCGCTGATCGAGCGAGCGGAGCGCGACAACCCACTCAATTAACATAATTCACGGCCCAAATCCAACAGAACCAATCGGGCTGATTGGGTTCGGTCTAAGGTTACAGCTCCAGCGCTCAGCCCTGCAGTACCACATAAAGGCAGCCCAAAGTCTCCTACCCGGTAAATGTGGAGAACACCGCTCTGACAGATGTGGATGCTGCGCCGGTGCCGCCGTTAAAATAACAAAACTACATTCCACTATAATTGATTATGGTACTCTTCTATGATGCAGAATCATTAATGTTCGCATCTCTTATTTGATTATTTTCCTCAGCTCTATACACCTCCCGGTCGGCTATCGGGGGTGGAGGTGGGGGGTGCGCGTGGGGTTTGGGGGCCACAAAGACAGGGCTCCCGGGCCCGATGTGGTCCACGGGCCGCCAACTGAGTACCACTGAACTAGAGAGGTGATTATTAATAAAACGACATCAGACGCAATCTGTTGTGTCTACAACCCCTGATCGGAGACCCCCAGCCAAGCTGCTCTAGTTCTGTGGATAAAGAATCTTTTAACTTTATGCGAGATGGCCTTCACCTTAATTTGCACCTAATGAACATTGTGTATGAGTGTAGATAATGATTAACTTGTTAAATCAAACATTACTGATCATATGATCTAAATGGATCATTGTAAGAACAATATTCATTTCAACTTCACTGAATTAGGCACAGATTATTCAAGCATTTCACATAACATCTGGTTCATTCAACCATATGATTATTTAACTCATGAGTTGTAAAAGTTCACTTTTTTATTCAGAGTGTGAAATCCAGCAGTCTGAGATAAGTTTGACAATCTTGTCTTCATGGAATGTCAACAAGCACTGCAGACTCTTCTGGGTGTTAGAAGATAGAATAGAACATCCACCTAGATAGTGGAATTACGCCTGTAGGTGACCGGAAACATGCCAGTGTGTCATAAATTAATCACATTTTGAATGGAATTACTGAAATAAATCTGCTTTTTCATGATATTATCCTGATCCTGAAGACCCTGCTCTTCAGAGAGCATCTTCTTAACTAGCACCCTCCCTGCACCCATCCCCCCTCTCTACTGTCCACTCCTTGTTCCCTCCTCTCCATGACTGATGTCAAGTTGTTGTTATTGTTGTTGTTGTTATTGTTGTTGTTAGCCTCGGGCAACATGCCGGTTATCACTTGTAAGTCGCTTTGGACAAAAGAGTCTGCTAAATACATAAACATAAGCATATTCTAATTTAATGACCAGCACCTGCATATGGATCAGAACTTCTCCTCGCTAATATCCAAATACTAGAATATTGAGTTTTTCTGTTAATTAAAAAATAAAATAATAAATAATAATATTCATAATAGAGGAGACCAGAACAGCCATCAGGCCTCCGACTCACCTGTGAGGATGATGTTGGGCAACCCTCCACTGCAGTTGGAGTACAGCATATTGGATCTCATGTGCATCGGGTCCTGCAGGCTGCCGTGGCTCCCCCCCAGCACTGACAGAGCTGCCTGAGAGTGGTATAGGGAGGACGAAGAGGAGGATGATGAAGGATCATAGCAGGACCCCCCTGCTGTGGAGCTCAAAACATTTTCCAGCAAACTGAACTGGTCCAACTGGGCAGCAGATGGAAAGAAAAGAAGCCATCGGGAGAAAACACAAGTCAGTCACGGTCAAACTGGCAGTCCCACTGGTGTCACAGCTCTTACAACGCTTCCTAATAACAAGGACTAAATAAAACTCTGTTGGGGCTCACAACTGTTCAGGGGCCAAGAATAACGGACAAACATAACCCCACAGTAAAGCTCTACAATGGAAAGACTGGTTTCCAGGGTATCTGCAGGTTTAAGGGAGCCAAATTTAAGACTTTTTAAGACCTTTTTAAGGCCACTTAGACCAAATTTAAGCTATTTTTAAAATTTAATTTCTGCTATAATTTCCATCTATTGCCTGGGACCGGAGCTAACCACGTCACGAACGTGGGATTAACCATCCAGTTACCATTAAACTTGCACTTCTCCACGGCACAAGCTCCCACTAGCTTAACCAGCTAATGTGCTCATCTAAAAATAGTCCCCTTTCACAACCAACTGAATGTGTACGGTTCCGCTTACGCCAACATCATACACAAAAAATGCTGAAGACTAACTAGAAATTCACAAAAATGAATAAAATAATCTAGTTTATTGGGTCTTTGGTAATTTAAGACCTTTGGAAACTGTATTTAAGGATTATTTGTAATTTAAGGATTTTCAAGGCCTTAAATTTGGAAAAGTAAATTTAAGACTTTTTAAGGACCCGCGGATACCTTGGGTTTATGGGGGTGCGCTCATGACGTTAACTCATCCTGTCTTGCGGTTTGGCTCACTGAAATCCGCACAATGTGCCACCTCGTTAGAGTTCTCACAGTGTGACCTACACGACAGCCGAAATATGCTCAGCGTGGTCCAGGCTTAAGCATCATCAAACCCAATAGACGCATTTTTGCAGCAAGCACAGCAGCACATCTCTTCCCACTGGAAGCTTTTCAGACGCAAATCGGCAGTGAAAACCTTTCATGCTGCTGAGGAGAATTGGGAGAATTGAAAGATTGCACGTGATATCGGCAGTTCACATACTGACCAGCCCATTCTGTTCCGTTTACCTCGACCACAACCATGATCAAAGGTCAAGACTTTTTTTTAAGCAGCTGTAAATCTGCAGGTCTTTTGTTTTGAAAGTTGCCAGACTTTTTACACTGCTCTCATGCTTGACTTCCTGTCCTTCCGATCGGAACTACTGAGCTCGACCCATTCAGGGAGTGTAGTGTGGAAAATGTAGACTGAAAGCCAACATTTAGTAGAGCAATGCGCCACTACACTTCTGGGACGTGTCCAAAACGTGCTGCCTCAGGGCCGGTGGAAACCCTCTCATTGACTAAAATGGTGCCCAAATGCTGTATACCACATTTCACAGATGTTAAAGGGACTATAGGGAAGTTTGACAGCCAAAACATGTATAGAAATAATACATTTCTTCTTCATACATTCTCCTGCAATGCCCTGGTCCTGTAGAATGAGCCCTGGCATTTTTACTGTGATTGCCTGTTTTTCAGTAAAATCACAGAAAAAGAGCTGCTCGGGTCGAGCAGGCTGCTTCATGCACGTTCACGCTCAGGCATCGCCCGTAGAATTTGCTATCCGTAGCTTTAGCAGCAGAGAGAGAGAGGCAGTGCCACTCAGCGACTTTGTCGCTGTTCCTAACGCCTAGTGATGAACCTAGCTACATTTCTGAAGACCCTTAGCTACTTTCTGTAGAACTTTCTTCTAGATATTTCCTGCAAATTAACAACAAAACAGCCATTTTCACTCCGAACCGTTCTTTGGTTTGACGTTGTTTAAGCTGTTATCAAGGATATACATTTTACAGATACATCAAATGTATCTGTAAAAGCTCAGGATACTGTGACAAAAGTTTATATTTTGCGAACGTTGAAGAGGGTTGGGAAATGCTAATTTCCTAACGTTCCCATCATTACCAGGAAACAGGACCACATCAGTCTGGTTCTGGCTTCCCTGCACTGGCTTCCGGTTTGCTATCATTCACACTTCAGACTCCTCGTCTTTGTTTTTAATTTCTTCCAGGGTGGTGCTCCCCCTATCTGGCCACGCTCCTGAAAACACATTCCCCATCACGTGCTCTGCGCTCCTCTGACCAAGGCCTGCTCGTTGTCCCTCGGTCTAGGTGTCATACTCGCGGGGACCGGGCTTTCTCAGTCCTAGCACCGTCACTATGGAACCAGTTGCCACCCTCAGTTAGGCTGTCCCCATCTCTGCCAGTCTTCAAGAGTCGCCTAAAAACCCACCTCCTCCGCTTGGCGTTTCCTGAACGTGTTTGAATTTGGCCCTCTTTTACGTTGATTTTATCTCACAGTTTTCATTAGTTCACTTTTTCCCTTGTTTTACACATTTGTCTTCTGCTAGAATGTTTCACCTTTTTTGTAATTTGTAATCTGTAATTTGAATTGCTTTTATTTTCTGATTTATTCACTATATTTAACTTTGTACTGTACCATGTTCAGCGCCTTGGGCTTCCTGACAGGGTTGCGGAAGGCGCTTTATAAATAAAGCTTTGATTGCTTGAATGTAAGGGTGAATGTCTAAACTTATGACGCGTTAAACCAGCTGTTCTCAGAACGAACCCTTTCTCAGCAGCCATTATACTCATTTACATAGGACATACTTGCAAACTCAAGAGGGTGTGAAAAAGGTGACCCCCCTTTGTCTCGACCAACATTTTAGGCTCCCAATCCGATCTTTCAACTTCAAATCTGACCTGATTTCAAGTCCTGATCCGATAGTTTGCCTTTACTATTGAAATTTATAAAGCTGAAATATAATTTTAGAAAGTAACTCAAGTTAACTTTCCATGACTAATTTCAATTAAGCATTACCATTATTGTTGTAAATCCCACGAAATCAACTTCCTATTTTGAGACTGGATGTAGAGTGTTATATTTCCGGCAGCTTTATTTAGCGGTGAGTTGCTACGGTGGAGATGGACTCCAAAGTTCGAAAGAGGAAAGACTGTTTGGTTACAAAGGGCACGGGGTGGGCAGCAGCCAGTAACAGCAGCGCTCTCTTCGTTACTCTCTTTTTATTCTTTGCTTTTTCTTCTGTGTGTGTTTTAATGCCCTTAAGGTGGGCACAGCTAATGCTAGCTTTCTTTAGCAGCTAATTTCTCCACTTTAAACGTCGGTTCTGTCTCCAGAATTACAGAGAAATGATGCAGCAGAATTAGGCTCTAGAGGGGATGGAGATATAAACCATATCTACCCTTTGTGGTTATGGGGAATGTCCGCTTTCTCCCCAATAAAATGAAAGAGCTCTCAGCGCTGACCTGGCTGCTGCGGGACGACTGACAGCCTGATGTTTTTTTAGGGAGACGTGGATCAACAAGCTTATAGCAGACTCTGAGGTTTCCCTGGAAGGATTTAAACTCACGCGAGCTGACAGGAGAGCGGAGCAATTCGGTTAGTGTCCAGACATCTTGAGAAATGTAAATTGCTGCTTGATTCGTCATCCATTTGGCTGACTTCTTATGGAAAATACGACCGTAAGCAGGGCGAGACTATCACACAGGATAAGGAGCTCCCTACAGGAGTTTCCCCCCTGGAAGTAGCACAGGCTAACGTGCAATAGTCTATTCTGGGAGATCGGTAAGACTTGTCAGTTATAATTGCCGATCTCTGATCACTGAAAAATTAGAAAAAAAAAATCATCCCGATTTTGAACGAATCTGATTCCTTGTTTCGATTCCGGGTCCCATCGATTCCCGATTCCGATTCTTTCAAGACATGACATGTTTTACATGAGCCGGCTAACCACAGGTCCTACTTGATGAAATAATCTTAACTTCAACATGAATTTTAATTCTATGAACAATAACATCACCTTCATTTAGACAAAAACATGTTTTGGAGAAAAAAAAAGAAAAAGATTTGCAGCACAACCAGTGTGTTTGTTTCTGACCACAACCAAAGTCTGGAAGAAGCCTCTGGGATGAGAGGCTAAATGTCTCCAACATATCCAGAAACGTCCAGATGTTTTCAGCTAAAACTCTCAGGATGATCATGTCCAGGATGACTGAGAACTACACCTCCATGCTGCAGCAGCGTTCAGTCAGAACAGAAAGTGAAACTTAAACGTAGCTGCTGTCAGTAACAATCTAACAGATTTTAAACATTAAAACTCAACAGAAATAGTTCAGAAAGGAAATTAAAATGTTATTTATTATTATTATAATTATTTATGGTGGCAGAAGCTGGTGTGGTCCACCACAGAGAAACTTCTCTAGCATGATGACTTTAATTATTCTACAGGTTATTGTTCAGCCCTCTGACACACACACACACACACACACACACACACACACACACACACACACACACACACACACACACACACACACACACACACACACACACGTGTTGGTGAGGGGCTGCGTCTGACTGCTGATGCTCCGTGTGTGTTGTTATTTCTGCAGTGAGACAAACTCACCTCACATCGTCCAGAGTTTGTTCTTTAAAGCTTCTATTAAATCCACCGTGTTGACGTATTTTACAAGTTTCCTCTGCGCTGCAGGAGTTAAAGTTTACATTACGGAGTAAAGGTCCGGCCTTCGGGCCAACGACTGTGTAATTACCTCGGACACAGGCCGGGCGCCTTTATTTTTTATCAAATTCATAAAAAAAAAAAAAAAAACTGAAACACTTAAACGCAGCAGCACCTGCCTGCTTCTCACGCACCGTTAGCTCAGTTAAGGTCTGTGTGGTTCATAAATGCGCCTATATAAACGAATTCTCAAACTGCTGTTTGAAACATGTGCCCCTATTCTAATATGCCATTTTATGTCCACTCTGATGTCAGAAACCATTTGTTTATTCTCATGAAAACGGCAGCATTCTGTTTTTCTGTGAATAAATTCGCTCTGCAGCTAAAAAAAATACAGCATTCATTGCTGGTTTTTTTTCTAACTTGAGAGCGCATTTTCAGAGCGGCAGATTAAATTTACAAACGCATCCAATTAATTTAATGTTCGTAAATTTCATCTGCCGCTCGAAAAATACGCTCCGTTAGAAAAAAAAGCTGCATTGATGCTGCTTTTTTTTCTTTTACTGCAGAACGCTTCTCACAGATAATTAGAATGCTGAGCATTCTATCACGCTAAAACATTATGAAAGGTTAAAAAAAGAAGAAGTCGGGCTCGGGTCAGGCCAGAGAATCCTGAAAACCTTTTCGGACCGGGTCAGGCTGGGGCTCCACCCCTTCGGGCCGGGCCGGACACGGGCTCAGATTTTAGGCCCGTGCAGGGCTCTAACCTGGATGATTGAGCACCTTCACCAGCATTAGGTTTTTATGGGGTTAAATACTGGCAGTGTTTACTCCGAACTCAAGCCCCCCCCCCCCAAAAAAAAACAAAACAAGGAGCCTTGGGAAAATCTATGAAGGCAAATCCGCTAAAGTCCTTGACAGAAAACTGTTATTTGATGACTTTGTTCAATTTGACGAACTTTTAAGCTCAAAACCGCAGCGAGAAGTTGAAATGACAGTACTCGTAGCGCCGCTCTGTGTTGTCGTCTGCAGTGTGCCGTCTCTTTGAATGCGATTGTCCAAATGACGACACGTGACTAACACACCAGAACAAAGGTCGGTTGTGAACAAGAGGAATCGCCCCTCTCATTTCTCTGTTCTCACAGAGTGATTGAAGCCCGACAAAAGACCCCAAAGACATCCTTTGTTAATTACAAGTCAAGCAGGATGGCTCGCTGGCTGCTTCCAGGCGAGACTTTCAAATGTGACGTGTTGGAGACCACTGATCTACAAATTACCAAAGCAAACCCATATGTCCTGGTGGACTTCAGCTTTTCGTTGCATGACTCCTAATCTCTCACCATATAGGGAAGAGTCTTGCCCTGGCGATTTGAGAAATGCTGCTCCACAAAGGGGTCCCCGAAGAGTGCCGCCATACTGTTTTGCTGTGGAGAAGAAAGGAGGACAGCTAAATTTTAAAATCAAATATTTGTATTCACTCTGAATGGACCACAAACTAGTTGTCATTTGTAATTAGGAAAGCATAGCAAAACCAGAGTTTCCCAGGCTGTACTGGGGACCCTTGTCCTGCATGTTTTTGGGGTTTTCCTGCTTCAGGTGATTTACATGAAAGCTAAAAGTTCTTATCAGGCTCCATCAGAAGTCTAATAAAGACCCACTCATTTGACTAAGGGGATCGTCAGGAGCCAGAGGAGGAAACGAGCTTTGGTTTGTTGTTTACTCGTTCTACGTTCATCTCTAGCCTGGAACTACTGCCTAACATCAACCTGGTTGTTACCGATCGTTTAACAGGTACTAACAGCAGGATGCAGTAAAAGCCACCTCGTTAAAACCACACAGTCTGTTTCTGATGCATCAAGTATTTCTACATTGTTTAAGTCACTACTTTTCTTTCCAATGCAGAACAACAGATTACTTTTAGGAGTCAACCCAAATCAAGATGGCCACCACAGCTTACCGTCATAAGCAAACAGGAAAATGGCCAAAAGTCATCATTTTCACATGTTGTAATAAAGTCCATGAATAATGATGTTTTTGAGAGGGTACCAAAACAACTGTAACTTCATTACTTTTCTACTTAAACTCATCTGCATTATTTACAGGAAATGACACTTATTTCTGTTCTTTTGCTAAAACAGAAAATCAGTTTGTGCATCAGTAACACACACGAAGCTGAAAATCTAAGAAACTACAACTACAACCTCTGAGCTGAAGAACTAGTTGACGGGGATATGTCTGGGTAGATTTTCACAGACCAGACTTTATTTCTACAAAACCGTTAAAACCCAAAATGCAAGTTTACGACGTGCACATGTGCGCTGCACTTACGTGGCCCGTGTTAAAGTCCAGTGGGATGTTCTGAAGTGGCGAAACTGGCTGCTGCGGCGGTGGCGGCTGGCGCTGTCGGCTCTGATCCACTGCATGCTGGGATTGCTGGTAGAGTGGATAGGGAGGGGGCGGTTCCCTTGGTATGTTACTGGTGTCCAAAGCAACTCCCTACAGACAAGAGTTACTACAAAGTTTAACAAACCAGATAGAAACAGCTGACTCAGTTAGACTTTAGTGGGGAGACTCACAACATCTTATCCATCAGAACAATTGCATTATTTATTATGTTGTCTTAACAGTTCTTTACCTTATTGAAATAATTTATTTTGTTTACATTTTGGACAATAAAAAATGTCCTTTATCATACAGCAGAAATGTTTTCTTCGTGTACTTTTTATTTCGTAGTTGAAATCTGGATCTGCTGTCGCCGACGCTGAGTCATGCCATTAAAGATCGATAATCTGCTGATGCTGAGCCTCAGTGTGAAACACAGTAGGGTTTGTGCTTAAAGTACATAAATGCTATTAAAAATTAATTCCACTGACACCTCGGTAGCTCTGCAATGCAGTAAAGAAAACACTGTTGGCTCTTCTGGTCATTTTGTTGTAGTTTCATACAGAAAGCAAAGCTTTTCTGTCGTTTCTAACAAAAATAGCAAAGAAAATAGTTTTACATTTAAGATCACTTTCTACAAAAGGAACAGTTGAATACAGAAACATTTTAACACAAAATGGATTTATAGAATTTAAATGTTTCCATTTTATCCATTGATGAAACCGAGCGCAGTAGTAAACACTGACATGCTGATTAGCCATGTGCTCACAAGTAAAAACAACAGATTGGTTGTTAGAGGGTCCAAATCAACAAGGATCAGGATTCAGATGTTAGTATTTGTTCATGATGATCTGATCCACTGAGCATGTTGCTGTCTGTGTAACGTGAGCGTACCTGTGTAATGGGGGACAGAGTGGGGGACATGGTAGGGGACAGCTGCTTGGCCAGGCCCCTGCGCTGGTCCTCTCCTGGAGACAGAGTGAGAGGGCTGATAGGAGCTGGTCGCCTCCGGGGTGAGTTGCTGGAATGACGCAGGGACGAGCTAATGGAGGGATTACTGAGAGACGACTGCAGCTGACAGTTGTTGAGAGAAGCCTGGATGGAGGGATTGCTGAGAGAGGAGGACAGACCTGCTGGGACAGAGAAGACAACACATCAGACAGGCCTAGGATTCATCTGGGTGTAAACCAGGAGAGCATGTGGTAGCTGCATGGATGTACATGATTTTCCAGTGCACTCTCTGGTCTCTGACATGAAACACTGGACTTTATTGTACAAGTGAGGAGAAAGAGCGAGCGATGGGAAGCACGGGGGAGAGGGAGGGAAGAGGAATGAAAAGAGCTGATTGTAGCGAGTGAAAAAGGGGGTCGAAATTCCTCCGTCGCTTTGGTGCTCGGCCAGGCTGAACTGTGTCGGACATGTGAGCCGAACAACACTTCTAAAGGAGAAGCAGTGGGTGTGATCTGCTGCTCACAGTGAGGAAGTCAGACACTGAGAGATGCCTCAGTGGAGGATTAATAATGTATGATCGGCTGGCAGATAAACACGGAGCAGGCTTCAGCTACTGAATCAGTGCTTCCAACATCTAAAGCTGGATGAATTCCCCAGCTCATTGAAACCAACAACAGAAAATCAACGCCAGATTCGTTTCAAGCAGAGCAGATAGTTTATGTCTTGATAACGATCAAAAAGCAGGCGTTTAAAGCTTAATTAAAACAGATGAAACTCGTTACAGCAGATGGAAATGTGATGTGGAGCTGTGCTGCTTGGTGACAAAAACCAGTTCTAAAACATAAAAAAGAAATCAGAGCTGAAACATTTATTAGTTAGCCTCTTTCTAGTGATCAAGTTTTAACACAGAACTAAAAAACAAACCAGAATGTAATAACTAGTAATACCAGAATGTTTCATCTATCTTGTAATTTCCATTTTGTATTTTTTAATTTGAATTTCTTTTATTGTTGATTTATTCAATATATTTACATACAACTGTACAATGTTCAGCGCTTTGGGCTTCCTGACAGGGTTGCGGAAGGCGCTTTATAAATAAAGCTTTGATTGATTGATTGATTGAAACCAGGAAAGTAATATGTTCACATTCTGTGCTCACAGGACTGTGATGTGATGTAGAAGAAGAAGAAGAAAATATCATTTCTATAGCTTTCTATGTGAGGGAGTAAAACAGCAAAAATATAAATAATTAGTTTTCTCCTCATCAACTCTTCAATCCAACAATGACCACTAATGTTCTGTAATCATTCCTTCTGTAAGTTTAGATGAAACAAACCAACCCTCCACTCACCCTGTGAGTTCCCAATGCCAAGGTGCATCATAGCAGCTGGCAGGTTTCCAGTGCTGTTGCCCCCGCTGAGGTTGGGGTACCCTCCGCCGTCTTCGGGGTCCAGCGGGGTGGACAGTGGAGACTGGAACTGCAGGTTGCTGAGGTCAGGCAGGGAGCCACCGGTACTGAGAGAGCCCTGGTAGTGGGACAAACCAGGGTTCTGCTCCGGGGACGGGAATATGCTGAAGTAGAAACAACGTATTAGACTGATGAATGCAGACTTTAATAACATCCTTTCTTTTATTATAATTAGACTTTTTGTCTAATGGTGTATTTTATGCTAATGTCAACACTAAATGGCTCATTATTTAGCAAACAAACTGGAACACAAAATGATGAACAAATGCTATTTATCTGCCTCCATCAACAACAACAAAACAACTTACTGCCACCTTGAAGTCTTTTTCTGACAAGGACCAACTGTTGGTTACCAGATTACGAGGACGACTAAGGATTAGTCGCAGGGATAGAATCTATCTTTTGTTCCATCATGATTCAAACATAAATTTAAAAATGCTCTAAATTAATTTTAGTAATGACAATCAATACCACAATGTAAAAGGTGGAATTCACTGGAAGTGTAGCTTAAACAGATGTTTTAACAATTTAATATAAAAGAGCGCTGAATGTTAACCAAACTCAATCAGGTGTCTTAAAATCCTCGCGCACACACGCATGCACTCACTCACACACACACACGGATGCACGCACTCACTCACACACACACAAACGGATGCACGCACTCACTCACACATATACTCACTCACACACACACGCATGCACACACTTAGACGCACGCACGCACTCTCTCACACACACACACATGGATGCACGCACTTACACAGATACACACACACACACGTGCGTGCACACACACACACACACACACACACGGATGCACGCAAACACGTACACATGGATGCACGCACTCACTCACACACACACACGCACACACTTGCACGCACTTACACAGATACACACGCACGCACACAAACACACACACGGATGAATGCACTCACACACACTCACTCACACACACACAGATGCATGCACGCACGCACGCATTCAAACACACAGACACACACACGGATGCATGCGCACACACACACGGATGCACGCACGCATGCACTCACAGACACACACACCGATGCATGTGCACACACACAGATGCACACAGGCATGCACTCACACAGACACACACACACGGATGCATGTGCACACACACACGTGCACGCGCGCGCGCGCAGGCACGCTCCAGATTTAACACTTACTTGATTCCAGGCACTTCATGTGAGTTAGGTCTTAGTGTCAGAGACTGGACCTGAACAGAAACAGAAACACATCACTGACACATATTTCCATCATTCAAATAATGAAAATCCAGCACTCTGATCTCACCTCACACATTTATCACCAGATTCACACATTCATTTGACTAAATTCTGCTCAAATATGCATTAAAAGGAGACGAGGCAGAAATCAAAACTTAACTCCTCGCTGTGCGTTCGTCTTTTTAACACCTTTATCCAACAGCTGAAATGTCTCCTCAGCCTTCATTAGTGTCTACAGGAGATATTCATCACTAAGTTAAACTAATCAGCTGTGTTCATGATCTAAGAAATAGAAATTACACTTTCTTCTTCTTCTTCTAAAACATGTGGGAAACGTGCTGGAACCAGACTGCAGCGCCAAGTATGTCAGCTTTATTTTAAATCCCAACAGAGCAACCTGCCAGTCTGAAGTTGCAAGTGGATATTCTGGTCACAGGAGGCGATAGGGGCTGGGAAGTCTTTCATTAACCCTGTGAAGGGTGGGTCATTTTAGCACATACTGGCTCAAGAAAATGATTTAAATATATGAAAATGTTTCAAAGTATCCCTTTAAAATCTATGGAAAAAATACAAGAAATTCTCATAACTACAGCCCCTAAAATCTGATGATTCTGATTATTTTAAGATTGAGAGGGCCCACTAAGACACACAATCACTTTCAAACAGAAAGTGTGGGTAGAGTACAACTCTGGTAGGGGGTGTCTTGCTCTTTAATGAAACCAGAGGGACTTTAGGTGGTTTCTGGACATTATAATCAAAAACCCAAATATTGGAAGAGTTTGGGAGTCCTTTGAGGATGATCCTTTGAACCTGAGACAGTTCGATAACTCTGGAATGTGATGAGTTTGTGTCAGATGGGTAAAACTGCTAAACCAGACCGGTTATGATGCCTGTAGCGAAGGGAACTTTGGGGAGCTCTTTAACCACTGGGGAGTTCCTTTGGATATGAGGGAAGCTTAGTTATGTAGCTTGATTAAAGAAAACGAGTCTCTATTCTCTCTGTTTAAGACTGAGCAGGAAAGGCTGGTTACACAGGAAGGGTGGCGTGCTTTTGGTAAGGCGTCGCAGGAATCTAAGGTGTTAATGATCACCTGAACTGAACCTAGATGCTCTCAGACTGATGATTGAAAACAGCTAGAAAATCATACACACATTTGTGCAGCAGAAACAGAAGGTCACAGGGGTCAAACATCTATTTTATCTATGACAACTGAATGAAGCAGAAATCACGACAGTAAGACATTGATGTAAAAGAGGCTATTTATAAAACTTCACACATGGGGAAGCTTTTTTAAATCCTACATGCTGACTCATGCCAAATTATTTGACTCAGTCACACTCTGTGATATGGCAAAAGTGTGTGTTGGTTTACTTCTCTGCAGCAACAAAACTACAAACTGGTATTTCCTTTTTTTCTTTTACTTTTCTTTTTCTTTGTGTATGAAACACGCTCTGGCTGCTCCGGATCCAACCACAGGTTGTGCATTACTTCCTCAAACACCCTTGTTGTTATTTTATGCATTCGTGACGCCTAGGAAGTTCATTTATGATGCCTGACCAGCTGCTCAGGTAAGGTTTTCTAGAACGTTAGCTTACATGCTTAATTAAGGTTGACCTCAGAGGAAATCTAAGCCTTATTGTTTTTATCAGGAAAAATCAGGACTGAGTCTCAATCTTACCCTCTGGGCCTCCCGTAGCTGCTTGGGAAGAGGTTTACTGACACCTATTAGATTTTCTTCAGTAGGCAGAGACGGGAAAGAGAAGACTGCAGAGAGCAAAAACAAAGACACATTTTTAACCGGTCTTTAAAGAAATCCTCCATTTATGTTAAAATAATCCAAACTCACCATCTCCGGTGCCATCTATGTCTGCCTCATTTACACTAGCTGCATGCCAGCCTCCATGAAAAACAAGGAAGAGAGTGTGGGAGGGGGGTGATCGTTGAAGAACACACACAAAAACAAGAGCAGAGAAACATTAGATATTCAATATTAACCACCTGTTTGAAAATGCAAGTATGTCTGGTGCAATAATCACCCCCCTCTGACAGAAAAAGACTCTTTGCAACACTCTGCAATTATCATTCAGTCTCATACACACAGCAGCTGGGTGTTTGGCATCGTGTTATTAATCAGAGATGAGGAATGGGGGAGAAAAATTGGTTGGGACTTCAAAGCCATGAGGAATAGAGGGAGTGTTACTGTTTTCCTGCAACAAAGAGGCCTTTTCTCTTCCTTCTCACTGCAGATTCACTTATAAAAAACATGCTTTTTGTTCTGGTCTCCTATATTTCATCTATTCTGTGACCAAGTCTGGGCAGCATCATTGTCTGAGCAACACTCGTGTTGCCCATTAGGAAAAATAAAAAGGCCTCCCTTAACGGCTCGCTCAAGTATCAAATGTGAACGTAGCAGCTTTCATTAGTCTTTTTACCCAGTGGCCACCCATTCCTGCTCCTTCCATGCACTCATTCTCTCTGAGGGAGCCAGCTTTCGCCTGCTGGTGCAGATGGGACAATGAGGTGATACAACACTCTGGCACCATTACATCCCCTCTTCAACGGTGTTTATTCACTGTAGCTCACACTTGCAACTAGGACAGAAGCGGGACAACTGATGTGGAAATGGTTGGCTCGTGTCTTTGGCAACATCAAACTCAATATGGATGTTGTAAAAGATTAAACAAGCTGTCTGCTGAATGAGAAAACAACCAATCAGAGCCCCATTGGCTGTAGGGCGAATGTTAGATCCCCGCTGACTGAGGCTGCTCATTTTCCTCTGGCAGCAGCCAGCAGAAAATAAATTGCAAAATAAGAGTGTAGCTGAACTCGTCTGCTGAAAAGTGTTTCCGCCCGGTGGGGTGACTCATAGCTGTAATTCCTAGTTAGATGCTTCTTTAATCAGCCAGGGCTTAACACCACTCAAAGCCTGCTGAAACCCTGAGAGGTGTCAACGAGGCCCTGGGGCTTCACAGCTCTGTGCGCTCACGCTTAAGGCCATGAGGCAGCGCTGCTCGCTCTCAAACAAGAGCTGCCTTCTTTGGTGTCATGGTCTCTTTTAGAGGAAGCAGACTACACAGATATTTAGTATGCTTGCAAATAATGCTGCATGCAGAAAAGCATGCACGAAGACTAGAGTTTACGAAATGTAACCCTGAACCCAATTCAAATTCGGGTGGTTTGAAAGCACTCAAGACACGTTTCTAACTGATCTGTGCAACAATTCTGCAACTATTCTGAGAAAATATTTGTCTCAAGTGTTGAAAATTCAAGCTACAAAACATCAAGGCGAGGAAATAGAATTTCAGACAACTTTTACACAGTTGCAGCCCTGTGATATAACAGCTCATGAAAGACTGCAACACAAACTCATTGGTTGACTTTACAGAAGACGAAGGACACACGATTACTCAGGATCTTTTTCTGTTTGACCTATGACCCTCCTATAAGACAATACTAGCCATCCTATACATGTAAATAAAGTCTGGCCATGATGACCACGTAGACAGCTCAGTATGGGGTGGAATCTACAGTTGTTTTTCAAACAGTCTCCAAACACAATTGAGCAATGAACGTAACATATATATCACTAAGGAAATCAGCCAGACTCCATCAAAGAAGAAAAAGTATATACATCCTTTTCCAAAGTAAACAACTTAAGTACCTCTATATGTCCACGTCTCAAAGAAAACCCACGTCTAAATCATCCTAAGTTAATGTCAAAGCTGTTTCAAATGAGTGCCTTTACTGAACAAACACCATGTTTGTAGTTTTTCACCATCACAGCTCTGGTGCTAAGTCCACCCAATGTTTCTCTAAAGAACACTGTGGTTGGCCTGGCCTAAACTTGCCCGAGCCAATGGTGGACCAGCTGAGGCTACAATGGAGCGTGCCTAGGCTGGCCTGCAGAGCAAAATCTTTTGCTTCTGCTACAGTTTGTCTGGGTTTCTAGGCTCTGAGAATAAGTGTTGGGAACATTACTTTAAAAGAGTAATTAGTTATAGTTGTCAAAAAAAAGTAACTCAGTTTCTTTTTGAGTTACAAGATTATAAAAGTAACTAATTACTAAGAAAAATAACAATTTGGTTACTTTTTTCATAAAAGAATACAAAATGAAACCCCCTCTTAATTAATTTTATTTTACCATAAATTACTAAAGACTTGAACATAATACAATGTATGTCCAAATGTTTATTTTTTTTTTTTACAAAATTTAACTTTTTAAATAAATGATCTCTTAACAGGAGGAACTACAAACGGGAATCATGACACTAATTTAAACTATTCAAATGAAACAACACACGGTAGCGTGATGAATTGTCCATTTCTGACCTAAAGGCCCTGCTCTATTTGCTCTGCCCAAGCAAAGCCATAAGTTTCTGACACAAGCCTAATCTACAAGATATGGGCCAAGGCCACTCATGCTCTGTGCTCTTATCTAAACTGTTGCTTCCTCGGACAGCACAAGAAAGAACAAAGAAGACCAAGAAAACTACTAAATAATAATCAAATAACATTGTTAGTCCAAATAATCATGTGAAGCTAATGTTCAATCAATCTGTGAAATAAGAATATTAATTACTTGATATTATAATCCTATAATAGTGTATAATAAGTAATATAACTTGAAATATTTACACTAGACTGATCACACGTAATGCTAAGTCACATGACACATTTCCTTTTTCTGATCCAATCAGAACCTTCCAGATCTGACACGAGGCGTGGTTTTGTTGGTGCTTGGTAAATCCCCTTTTGTGGCAAATTCTGATTTGACCATAAATCAAAACATCCAAATTATAAAACTATGCCCCACATCATCTTAACTTGAGTTCAAAGCGTTCTAGAGAAGTTATTGGAGTAGCCAATCCGTAACTTTCCTCTTAAAGCCAAAATAACCTAACGACAAGCTGGATTAAATCTGTTGCATGTTCCACCTGCTGCAACGGTTCCTTCAGAATAAAAGCTGAACCATCATGGCCTTTCAGGGTCTCGCTGATGCCAATAAACTGTCGTGACCTGGGAGTAACTCAAGACAGGAAGGATCCGCAACCGCTGCTTATCTACAGGCGTCGTTTCCAAGAGGGTCTAAACGTGGACCACCGACATTCCGGATCTAAATGGGGACTTTCGTTGGGGTAAGTAGACCGACAGATGGTGTCTCAATGTGTGTTATAATCTCCAAACCGAGCTTAGAGCGAAACACCATCTCACTCCCATCAGGACTAATCGTTTCTCCGAATTTGCTGGTTCTGAATATATTCACACATACACCATCCTCAGTCTTACTCCACCTTAGTTCATAATCACATAGTGTTTAAAGTTAGTCTTGTTTAATTTGTTTAGAAATAAATCTTTTAACTTTTAAACCTGACTCTCTCTTTCTTGGAGTTAAAACGAAGTGTTGCTCAATCCCTGCAATAAAAAGATCCGATCTTCTGGTTAAATTTATTCAAAGATCCATTAAGGTGATGTTTCATATTTTATGGTTTCTAATTAAATGTAAGAACATCTTCTCTACAACCCCAATCAACTAACATTTATAACTGCAAACAGAAAACACCTGTAAAGGATTCATGAATCTTTAAATGGTCTTTCAGTGTAGTTAAATACTGAAATAAACTTAATTTTGCACAGTACTCAAATATTTCCAGTTTCACATAATTGTGTGTTTTAGTAGCATTTATATTGCAGGTAATCTAGTAATGGTAAAATAAAATAAATAAAAATCCTCTAAAATGGGCCTAGAACAGGAACATATTTGAACTAGGACTTTAGTTTTCTAACTTGGGTCAGACCCAAACATAGAAGAGCTGAAGCTGGGTGGTGAAGACAGTAAGTTCTAGTGAAACCTGAGTGCCCAGTGTTACAGCAGGACTAAAGAAATGATCAGCAACAAGTTACAGTTGGATGATGTAGGGAGACAGAAGAATGTGACGAGGAATTAATGAACTGACGTGTGAGTGGTAAACAAGTGAGCGGACATTTGCGAAGTCCCGCTGTCACCTCAAGAAGGGTACAGCTGCAGACCCACAGACCGCAGAGCAGATTCACGCCTGCAGATGTAGACTTAATCATCATGTCTTCCTCGTTCCTCACTGGCCGTGATGGGCTTGGATGAAAACATCCACTCCTTTAGCTCCCGATCAGCTGATGACAGCTTCCAACACACCGCGCAGCTGAATAATAGTAACACAAAAATGTTCTTATCGTAAAGGAAACAATGTTATGACAAAAGAAAACCGTAATTAGATTACTTGTTACTGAAGAAACTAACTTCCGTTAGTAACACTGCTACATCATCATAAAGCTCCAACTCCTGCTACCACATGGGTTGAAGTTATTTGAGAGTAAAAACATTAGTTTTGTTAAAGATATGTGTAAGGCTTAATAAGTACAACATCTCGAGTCTGTGCTGCATGCATTTGTTTTATCGCGGCTTGATTTCTGCAATGCAGTGTATGATGGCTGAGTCAGGCAGCACTGAAGCGGTTGCAGTTGGTTCAGAACTCGGCAGCTAGATTCCTGACAGGCTCGAACAGCACATAACTCCTGTCCTGGATTCCCTACACTGGCTCCCTGTAGATTGCCTGGCAAAGTTTAAGGTCTTGTTGTTCGTCTTCCGGTCCCTCAACGGTGGTGCCCCACCATATCTGGCTGGGCTGCTTCAGATGCATGCCCCCCTACGCGCTCTCTTCGCTCAGCTAACCAGGATTTGCTCAGGAACAAGGCGGAAAACGAGGTGATAGGGCCTTTTCTATCCTAGCTTCAACACTATGGAACAAGATCCCACTTATTGTCAAACAGTCCCCATAATGAAGGTCTTCAAGAGTCGTTTGAAGACTTATTTTTATCGTTTGGCTTTTATGTAATATGGATTTTTAGAATTGTAGTCATTTATCATATCTGTTTTGTTATTTTATTCACTCTTTTATGGAGTTTTAATCAGTCTTGTGGTTTCTTTTCTCTTTAGTTGTTTTTATATGTCCAGCGCCTTGGGATTCTGTAAAGGCAGTGGAAGGCGCTATGCAAATAAAATTTGAGTGATTTCTCGTCAATTAGTTTTTGCTCAAAATTGGGTATCTAAAAACAAAAACAGCTTCTACTTCATACTTTTTGCTTATATTTTTGTCTCAACAAGTACAAGAAATCATGAGCACACAACACTGGTGCTGGTTTTACTCCACTGGCTCCCCGTCCAGTTCAAGGATATGTGCCCGTGACCTCTGGAACAACCCACCTCTTCACATTAGATCTGTTCACATCCTTGGTCCTTTACAATATACTTCTACTCTCTGGCCTTTGGCACTAGTTAAACTGGTTCTCCTGTATCTCTCTAATGTTTTGATGTATTCACTGTCTTTTAGATTATTTTGTGCTACCCTTGGAGTATGTTTTACTGCTGTGAGGCACTTTGGCGCAGCTCTGGTTTCTATAAAGTGCTACGTTAAAATAATTGACATTCATCACAAAAATTATTCACTTTAAAAAGCAGGTTCAGGTGTCACTTCTCTCTCTGGAGCTTCTGTTTGTGTATGAAACTCATTCTTGGGTCACATCTTGATGTAACATCCTGTTTGGCTTAACGAAAGAGTAGAAATCAATTGAAGGAGCATTTTCCTCAAGCACCTTATCAGTGCAGAGATCAGAAAGAGGAAAGTGACAGGATGACCAGGATGAAGAAAAGAGGAAGGAAGCTCTGATGTTTGACTCAAGTTTTGATCTTTGACTTTGGCTCAGTTAGAAAATGAAAGAGTATTTTAAACAAAGAAAAGGGGAAATGGCGATGTGGCCGAGCTGACAAACAGCTGCCTGGATGGACTGTGTTCCCTGTTAATAAATGACCAGAGGAACAGAAACACAAACACCATAAAATGGGATGACAATGACAGAGGAGCGAGTGTGTAGACGCTGTGCAACAAGATATTCATCTCGAAAACATCAAGTAAAATGCACGGTATAAAAGCCAACTGTACAATCAGAATTATTTAATAATGATGAGAATCATCCTTGTTTGTCTCGCTGCCATGCTTCCTGCCCTTGTTGGGAGATAACATTCCACCGTCTTTCATCTGCAAACAGATCTCATCCGCTCTGTTCATCACATTCATTCACACTCACTTATAGACGAGACAAAACACAGTGAAAGTTTCTTATAACAGTAAATGCAAGGTCAAACCATTTCTAATTCAGTGGCTCTTCATCCTAATAAAACCCAGACAGAACATGAAATATGTTCAATCGTTATACAAATTGATTTTCTAAGAATAAAAACAAATGAACAGACAAAAAATCCCATGAAACTGAAGCAATTACAGCGTCCAGAAATGACGAAAAGGAAAATCTGATTGGATATGGTTCTTTTGGGAGGCCATTATGCTAGAGCTGAAATAATTCAGCGAGTAACACAATTAAGTTGACTACAAAGAAATCTTTGAGGGAACAGTCATTGATTCACCACTTCATTTAATTGATGCTGCATGCAGCTTTACTGGGTTCCAGTGATGGAACTCAGTAAGAAGAGCATTACCAAGAAACATCAAGGTGTTATTTTTTTATGTGAACAAATCAAAAGTTTAGCATCAAAGCCTTTCACATAAAAAAATCTCAAGAGTCATCCTCAACAAGTTAAAGGTTTTGTTAGAAAATAAAGAAATCTGGCCCCTTTAAGTCTAGTAAATTGCTAGAAAACAGAAAAGTAAGAATTTGCATGTGAATATTGGAGTGCAGAAGGCCTTCCTAAGTAATTTCATAATAGAAAATACCCCAACAAAATAACTTTAGCAGCTCTTATACCAGCATACATGTGTTTAAAACAGAGCTCACTGCCTGGCCACATAAAAAGTTGCCATCTGGATTTAACTAAGCAAATAAATATGATTGTCCCATTGGATTATTACAGCAAGGGGGATTATCTTTCAGCTGGTAACAAATTATTTAACTAACTGCTGCATGGGTAAGAAGAGTTAGTTGAAAGGGATCCGCCCATCTTGCCTAGTGTCCATGTACACACCTGTGGGGGAGCCTATAATCTGGAGTTGTTGCAGTTGGTCAGGTCTAGGTTCAGAGACATGTTAAAGAATGAAGTTAACCGACTACCTGTACACACTGAATGACCAGGTGGCCTCCCTGATGGAACATGTATTTTCTAAGATGACAATGCCAGGATTCATCAGGTTCAAAATATGAAAGAGTGGTTCAGGGAGCATGAGACGTCCTTTTCTCAAATGGATTGGCCACCACAGAGTCCAGACCTTAACCACATCATTGGGATGTGCTGAAGAAGGCTATGTGCATTCATCAGACTCTCCCATCATCAGTACAAGGTCTTCATGGAAAATTAATACAACACTGTATGGAAATAAATATTCTTGGTAAAATTAAATATTAGTTTGTGAGGGCTTTTGTTTTGGGACAAACTGTATAATTTAAGTAAAGCCTTAAAAGAATGCATGTCGACTGACAGCTTTCAGGAATTGATCTTGTGGTCAAATCTTATCAAGCGTGAAATCAAACAATGCTAAAAGCTCTTGATGTTTTGGTAAAAGATACTCTAACAGTTATCATTTCAAATCCAATATTTTTTTACAACATATAGTATGCTGGGTGTGAGTTAGGGATCACGCTTAACCACTATAATTTTATTCCACTATCGGTAAACTGGTGGTTATGAATGGTTTTGTATTTTCTAAGGTTAACTGGTGATGACACTCATCCTGAAGTGGGTGGACTCTTGACATTAAACAGTTTTAAATGAACATCTCATGATAACTTTCAGTTTCATTAAAATCATCAGGTGGTTCATCAGATATTTTGCAAACACTACAAACAAGGAAAACCAAACAAGGGTAAAACCAAAGATACTTACCAAATACCCAAGTGGATGATAAACATTTACTCAAACATATATGCATATATTCAGTGATTATTTAAAGGTGTGGGTCACTGAAAAATAGTTATTAATTACTACTTCTGATTATAATCAGTCACTCAGAGTTTTTCATGCAGGCTGAACATGAAAACAGTCTCCTACACTTATCTGCTGATAGAAAATTGACAGTGAAACTCTAGGATTTGAAAAGTGTGACAGATCTACATCACTCTGTCACTTACTGTAACATTAACAGGGATGACTGTTTTTGGTTCAGCGTAGAGCAGAGTACATCTCGACTAGTAGAAGCTACCTGTTAGCATTAGCAACTACACAGCACGGCAGAACTCCTCCAGGCTTGTGTTATTTGTGGAGATAAAACATCAACATTGCAAAGTAAATGGTGTCAGTGGTAGAGATGTGTTGCTGTTAGCCAATCAGAGGTAAGAAAAAATGTATTTGTCTTACAATTAATATTGAGTTTTGAATAAGTGTGTGTGTATGTGTGTTACTCTCACCATTTCGCTGTGGGGGACCTCGGCCCATCTGCTGATTCATGCCAAATGGGTCCTGAGTGTTTGGGTTCATAGCACTTGTATGCAGAGCAGAGTCTGAGTTGGTTCTGAGTAGGAGGAAGAGGAGAATTATGCAGAGTATTCCAGCACCTTGGACAGAGGCAGAGGATTTCTGAAGGCCATAAGGTCAGTGAATCATCCTGCTCTGCCTCCATGCAGGCAGCATTTGTCTGCAGGCTCACGCTGACCTTACACATACACCCTCATAGCGCCAATCCAAGCAGTCATCAGTCTGTGATGAAAACACATTCTGGCTTTGGGACCAAATGCACGCCTTCCAGCAACTAATGTGAGAAATCTTCACATTTGCTGCCAACATTTAAACCAATTTTCCCCAGAAACACACTTATTAGAATGTGGAAATGCAGTCTCATTATTACTGCTTGTAAAAGTTCAGGGACATCATTTTCATAGAACTGACAAAATCATTGTACATTCTTTTTCACTAGCCTTTCATGTCTCCCGATAGTGATGGGATTTTGTTAAATGCAGCAATTACACTTTCTGTTTGAACCCTTAAGAGACAAGAAAATATTTATAGTGTCTATCTGAACAACTTAATGGTGTTTTTGTTTTTCACAGTACAGCCAAAAAGTTGAGATGGAATTAAAGATTCCCATTTGTAGAAAGCAGAAGTGACAATATTATGGAAGATGTGATTATTATCGTGACGAGTGGACTGGAGCGGTTTCAGAAATACAACCCAACATTGTGTTGTGTGGTTAGATGAGGCCATGTTTGAGTTGCTTTGGTGAGCTTTGGTTAAGCAACTGTGGAATTATCCATAAGTACCAGTAATCTACAGTGGTCAGCTGGCAGTCCAGTTTGGTTTGGTTTGGTTTTTAAAAACTATTTGGAGCATCATGAAGAAAGCAGGTGAAATCTATTGTCTGTAATCCTAAATGGTATAATCTAAAGAGTAGATAAACACCACTGTAAACATCTACCTCCCAACATTTGGTTTCTCTTTTTGGCAAATGAGAAAATGATTTAAAAACACGATGAAGTTGGTCGGTTGAGACACAATGTTTAAACACATGATTAGTACAGTTTTCACTGGAAAACTTTACGTTTCTAGAAGAAGAAAAAAAAACACATTGTACAAACACTTATTTTAAGTACTGGTTAAGTTTTACTGGTTGTAATATGAGCCGCACATCACACGTTTTATGTTCCTTTATTGGAGGATTTTAAACATAGTTTGAGTCAACTCCAGTTCTCTTGACAGCTTTCATTAATGTAGCCACATTTTCTTCATTCATGTGTGATTCTTTTACATTTAAATAAAGTATTGCAATAAAAACTAGTTCAAATTCAAACTGACAGGTTTTATTTGAGAGCAACAGCTCCACTGTCAGGTACTCGCAAAATCAGTTAGTCACGATAGATAAAATATAATTCATATATTTTTAAATAATTACTTTTAGAGCATTATTAGCTCATTTTGTTGTGGAGCTGAAAGCATAACTTACAATAATAATTTGCAGTAATTAGCATAACATCAAATAAAGTTTCGGTTTACCAGTTGTAAGGGTTTGCAAAATAAACATCATCTGGAGTTACATTGAGAGAAAAAAATATGGCTAGGCTGAGTTTCTCCCAATTCTGAACAGGAGTGATCTGTGTTGCAACCTTTAGATGTGCATTTAATAACTCTAACTGATGTATTTATTTACAAACTTTAGAGCTCTTAAAAGAAAAATACATGTCCCCATAGGGAGCCCAAGTCACACCCACCAACTTCCGGACCGTGGGTCCCCGGAAAAACAAAAAAATGAATGCAACTTTTGTACGTTCTTGCTGTGTTTGTCTTCAAATTCCATTTTTGGTTCTTTTTTTTAAACACAGATAAGGTTTTTCTTTACCTTGCTGACGTTTCGTTTGTGGCTGCAAACATCCTCAGAGCTGACGCTGATGGTGGCGTCACTTCCTACTCCGTTTTTCCGCGGGCAGCAGAGGACGTTGTCACCCTCTGCTGCCCGCTCTCCCCTCTCCGATGATGCAGTTCCATGCGCGATCCAATGTGTAGACTCCATCGTCTCTGTTCATGGTCCCACAACCACATCTCCTTATTTCTATAGCTTCCTTTATCCATCTGTTGTATTTCTGTTGTTCGATGTTTATGATCCTTGTGTTTATGTTTATTTATTTGGCAGACGCTTTCATCCAAAGCGACTTACAATTTATAACCTGTAGGGCATGTTGTGATCTGTGGGGGAAACCAGAGTACCCGGAGGAAACCCACGCATGCATGGGGAGAACACACAACTCCACATAGAAAGGCCGCAGCAGAGTTTTGAACCTGCGACCTTCGTGCTGCGAGGCAACAGTGCTAACCACTGCACCACCATGCAGCCCCATGGCCCTTGTGTTGTCACAGTCCATTATATGGTTTTCTATTGTGCAGTGATCTGTTACGGCTGATTTCTCTATTGTACTTTCTGCTTCTTCTTTTGCTGCTCTTGTGTGTCTTTGACCTGTTTCTTTCTAATACTCCTTTCTATGTTCTATTGTTCGTGTGTTGAGTTGGCGTCCGGTTTCTCCTATGTATGTTTTATTGCAGAGTTTGCATGGGATTTCGTAAATGACTCCACATTTATGTCCAGCTGGTATCTTGTCTTTTGGGTGTACTAGTCTGTTTCTAACTAGGGTTGTCACGGTAACCGGTGTAGTGGTAAACCGCGGTAAAAAAGTTGACAATAATAATAACAGTCTTGTTTTTTAAAAAACTATTATCTCGGTGGATTACCGTGGCTGCGGTGTAGGCGCGGCGACCCTTACCAGCCACCGTATCATCTGCTGAAGTTGCCGGCGGCACATACGCACTTTGTTGTTTACAACCAAAACTTTCTTGAAGCTAAAGCTGAAATAATGGCCAAAGGAGGAGACGGCAGCGCGCAGGACATTTCACATTTATTATCCCTCAAAGAAGACAAAGTGGGAAGTATGGGCATTTTTTGGATATTTGAAGAATGCCGAGGGACAGTTGATAGAAGACGGCTATCCTGTTTGCAGCAGGTGCAGAAAAAGTGTCTGTGAAAGGCAGCAACGCTTCAAATCTCATGACACATCTGCGTGATCGTCACCCACAACTCTACAGTCAACGCAAGGCAAGTTAACGTTAGCGTTTTAGCTAAAATGCGTGATCCGAGGATTTGGGTTGAGGGAGAATGCAACGAGTCGCTATATAAAGCAGCCGCAGCGCCGCTACCTGCATATAAACCGTGTCGCGGACACCCTCATGTTGAAATGACGCTATGCATTACGGGGCTCCCAGGGGCAGATAAGAGTTGGCCTCTCTCCGAGAATAATTATGAATTTAACAACGATTACTGCCTGATGACATTTTCCCAAATCTGCAAAGCTCACTGGAAGGACACAAACCGAGGACAATATTTTCCTGATATACGGTTTATTACTCAAGGGTAAAAAAGTATCTGATTAGAAGGCTACTTGAGTACTGAGTACCATCTGATCTAATATTTTTTAAATGATGACATCAAACAGACATAAAATAAGAAGTTATGGGCAAATATTGGCATTTTAAAGACTAAAGGGGAAAAATGTAAACAAATAAACAACATAATTACAAAATAACAAATTTTAAGCAAAAATTAGACACAAACTGAGGACAATATTTTCCTGATATACAGGGATTATTTAGTTTCCTGAAAATGTAACATGTTTAAAAAAATACCGCGATAATACCAAAAAACGTGATAATTTTGGTCACAATAACCGTGAGGTTAAATTTTCACACCGTGACAACCCTATTTCTAACTGTTGTGAATGGTTTTGTTGGTTTGTTTATGTTGTGTTTTTTCATTGTTGGTCTTATTTTTTTCTGTTATGCCTTTGATGTACGGTAGGGTTATCACTGGTTTTGGTTCTTGTCTTCCTGGGTTTCTGGTTCTTTGCTTAGGTTGTTCTTTTCTTTCTGTTGTTGTTTTTGTCAACACTGCAAAAATAGCATAGAACTGGCAAAAGAACTAAAAATAGATTACAATAAAAGATAACGACACACTCATCTCACATGACGTCACATCCCTGTTCACAAAAACGCCAGCCCAAATAAGCATAGACATAGTAGTCAACAGGATCAGACAAGATAAAACTTTACACAAAAGAACAAACCTCACAACAGATGAAATAGCACAACTGATAGTACTGGTAGCTAACTCCACATACTTCACATATGATGACACAATATACAAACAACTGGAAGGCTTCGCCATGGGTAACCCGTTATCAGCCACCCTGTGCGAGTTTTTAATGGAAGACCTAGAAAAAAAAGCCATAGCCACTGCCCCTCCAAACTGTAAAATAAAATTATGGAAACACTACGTAATGACATACTGGAAATCATACCAAAAGGACAAACAGAAACACAACACTTGAATAACATTGACGACACAGACAACATAAAGTTCACATGAGTCAGAAACAGAAGGCAGTTTAGCATTTATGGACATGAAAATAACCAGACAGAATGACGGGACCCTCAACATAAACACATATAGGAAACCAACACACACAGACCAATATCTATTACGGACATCAGAACACCCTACCTTACACAAAATGTCAGTAATCAGAACATTATATCACCGAGCAAACATGAAAACATAAGAAAGAGACCGTAAACAAGAGGACAAACACATAGACAATGCTTTAAAGACCTGCGGATACCTAAAATGGGCAATAAACAAAGGAAAACAACAAACAAAAACAGAAAGAAAAGAACAACCAAAGCAAAGAACCAGAAACCCAGGAAGACAAGAACCAAAACCAGTGATAACCCTACCATACATCAAAGACATAAAAATCAAGAGCAACAATGAAAAAACACAACATAAACACACCAACAAAACCATACACAACAGTTAGAAACAGACTAGTACACCCAAAAGACAAGATACCAGCTGGACTTAAGTGTGGAGTCATTTACGATATCCCATGCAAACTCTGCAATAAAACATACATAGGACAAACCGGATGCCAACTCAACACACGAACAGTAGAACATAGAAAGGTGTGTGAGAAAGAAACAAGTCGAAAACACACAAGAGCAGCAAAAGAAGAAGCAGAAAGTACAATGAAGAAGTCAGCCATAGCAGATCACTGCACAAGAAAAAACCATATAATGGACTGGGACAACACAAGGATTGTAAACAGCGAACAATAGAAATACAAAAGATGGATAAAGGAAGCTATAGAGATAAGGAGACGTGGATGTGGGACCATGAACAGAGACGATGGAGTTTACTTATTGGATCGCGCATGGGACTCCATCGTCGGAGAGGGGAGAGCGGGCAGCAGAGGGCGACAACGTCCTCTGCTGCCCGCGGATAAACTGAGTAGGAAGTGACCCCACCATCAGCGTCAGCTCTGAGTATGTTTGCAGCCACAAACGAAACCATCAGCAAGGTAAAGAAAAACCTTATGTGTTTAAAAAAGAACCAAAAATGGAAAATGAATGCAAGTCAATGGTGCTAAAAATGCTATTTTCTAATTCCGCTCGTTTTGTACCATGGATTTCACATATGATGTCCATAAATTTTAAACACTTTTTGATACCAAGAACACGCTTATTTCTGAACAGCGGGAAACACTATTTTAGGTTTTAAGTGAAAATAAGTCCAGGACTACAAATGCATTTCACGAAATCGAACCAGACACGGAGAAAACTGAGTGAAAAGGGCTGCAAGTTCATCAAACTTCCCACAGGAGGAAAGAACCACCATAAATCTGGTCATGTAGGAAGTAGCAGCTACATTGGGGGAGAGGAGATTATGTGGTGACGTCACATATGCGGCGTGCCGATTTCTGGTGTGTAGTCACGCTAATTACAAACTTTTACAAGCTGTACTACATGACTGGCATGGTTGAAAGACCCATCATTACTTTTCATTTTAATTGCAGTACAACATATGTGTGATCCAGGGCCTAACGCAAAGCGCATTAGAAAATAGCTTATTTTGCCCTGTTGGCTTGCATTCATTTTTTTGTTCTTCCGGGGACCCATGAGCTGACCGGAAAGGGAAGAGACTTAGGCTCCATATATAAGGTTCGGAGCTGGTAATGACTTCAGACATCCAAATATGAAGTGAAACACACACACACACTTTAATTTTTCCATAATTTCTCACAAATTAGTTAAAAGAAAATTAGATAAGCCTTCAAGAAAAGGTCTACTTCTCCAAACTAATGTATCGGTTTTCTTCAATGATTTTATTACATTTTGCTAAGAGTGAGATCATATAAAGAAGATTGAGTAATTTAAAAAAAAATCTTCTTGAACATAGAAAAATCCTTCTGCCAATTAAAATCCTTCATAGATAAGAAAACTCCATTGTAAGGGTTAAAATTAAATCAGTCAGCTCTGAGAACAAATAACTGGAAAATTTTATTTTTGAATTGGGGAAAAGAGCTAAATAAGAACTTAAGACACTTGATGTTAAATTTACACAAGTATGCTTTTGGCTTTAACAAACAGCTAATTGCTACAAAAACAGTACAAAACCATTTAAAGTTTATGTAAAGATGCTGAAAGTAAGAAAATGTTAATAAGAGCCTTGATGTTAATCTGCATGTGGGCTGAGTCCTAAAGCTTGGTTAGTCAAAGAAAAATGATTAATGTTTCAGAAGTACCAGATTGGAATTATGAGAGCGACACCACAAAAGGGAAAATAGGATGAATAAATCCATCATAACAGTTTGTGAGTGAAACATTGTCTATCAGTGCTCCAAAAAAGGAGAGGATTACAGAGAAGCTAAAAACCAGCTGGAAATAACAAAAATATGTAAGAGGAAGGAAGATATTAAAAAGCCGAAAGAAAATGCAAAAAACCAGAAAGCTGGACTGTTGTTCTGTGAGAGCGGGGGACAAAGCAGCAAAGACAGACTGAAGGAAACAGAGATCAGATGAGGGATGGAAGGGTCAAGGGTCACCTGTTGAGTTGTGACAATAATCTAAACCCAGGGCGTTTTTCCTCAGTCCATGGCTGCTGTTCCCTTCAAAGACAGAGGAAAACCGTGACAGACACTTATCGAGTGAAAGCAGAGACCCCTGCTGAGAAAAGTGACATGTTTCAGTTGGAGTGAGCTGAAGGAGAATGTGGAAAGTAATCAAAGCCCGAACACCACAATTTCATGTATAAGGAAAATACAGAAAGAAAGGGAAATGGAAAACTGTAAGACAATAATACAGAACTGATTAACAGGACAGTATCTCAGGTTTATAAGCTCCATTCTGCAGTCAAAGTTTTATTCTCTCATTTTGAATCAAACAACAAATCTGGTCAAACACATCCAGCTCAAGTCTAGGAGGACAGAAAAACACTAGAAAAACCCAAAACAGAGCAATTGCAAAAAGTTTTTTTTTTTAAAACTGTTTATTGAAAATAAGATTGCTATTCTTGCTTAGAATTAAAATGGCAGAACTAGAAATGTTCTTCTGGTGTGAGTGCTGCTCAAAACGACCACGGACTAAAGTTCATATGTCAAAGAAATAAAAACAAAAACACTCATTTAAACCTACGACTGTTCTGGTTAGAATCTTCATTGTGTTAGTCTTAAAGGTCTTCTGTTAATGACAGAACTGAACCCAGAGCAGCTGCTGAGGAGTGGGAGCATACACATCTGCAGAATGGAGCCAAACAGGAGAAGAGACCAGCAGGTTGTAAATTAAACTGTTGAGAAACACTGTCAAGATCTTGTGCTGTAAGAGTAAAAACACAGCTTTTCTTTTAGTATTAACTTCAAAGAATAACACGGTGAGTGCATGTAATTATCACCAACAGGAATGAAAGAAAAAAGAGCTGGATCAACCTGCTGGAGCCGCTGGGAATTGAGATGAGCTCAGAGCACGATCATAAACTTTCTGCCCTACCATCCTGCTGCCTTAAGGGAAAACAGTACCCGCTTCAGTACACATCTACCACCAGGTTTGCTTCATCAGTGTAGAAAATGCATCTGAAGAGAAAACATCTCACCAAAAATAATGTTTGGGCTTAAACTTGCTGACTGACCCAATGCGTTCTCCAGCGTATGCTTTAGTACAACACGATGCAAGTTCAGCTACCCCTTGTGAATGGAAAACATTTGTTTGTATTTGTGACTAATAAATGTACATTGATTCAACAAAAACTTTAAAGGTTGAATATTGAACAATTTAATTAAAAGCATTTTTTTAAACACCTTGTCGGGGCATTAAGAGGTGTGCAGAATAAAAGATACATCATTTCTTTAATAGCTATATTTTAATTTAAAAAATTATCAAATATTTATTTTGAGGGGCATGACACTGGGTTTATGCTTACATCTACCAGCCAATAGAGGACACTATTGCGGGATGCCAAACAGCCCGCTCTGCACAGCGAGGCTGACCCTGTGGAAAATGGCGGACTTGACGATTCAAGCAGCTGCTTCTGAGCTCAAAATATGTCGTTATCCTTCTCATAGAAACAAGTAATATAAAAATAAATAAGATGGGAACAATCACGTTAAATTTACCTATAATTCAGTTACTTGCTTTATATACCTCTCTTCACTAATGTTTTCTTTTAAACACTACATTCGCACATAAGTGGCTGGGTTATGTTGCTGATTTTATCAATAGTTTCATTGTGAGTTTATTGAAAATGATCTAAATATGTGTTAGCTGGAGTTTCTAGAGTCTCCTGTCTGAAGAGAATGAAATTACTTAATAAGGTTGAACTTCATTCAAGTTAGCAAACTGTATTCCTGAAATCATCAAGTTTTATTAGCAAAGTCTAAAGTTAAAGGTGCATGATGAGAGACTGACATCCTGTGGTCAAATGTGGGTACTGCACTCCATGCATCAAGACAAACAAGTCCACTTTAAAGAACTCACCCTTTACAGATCAGTGCCAGAAGATATATTATGTGCAAAGAGGAGCTATATAGTTGTTAAGTAGTAAGTAGATACATGCATTTCAGTGTAACATAGAGTGGTTGATAAAAAAAAAGTAGCTTGAGATATTATTTAGAGAAAACTTTTTTTATTTTTACCATCGACTGTGAGCATTGCTAGCTCAACGTTAGCCTCTACCCTTCTGTACATATTAGAGTGAAACAAAATGAGTTTAACTTTATTTAGCTTATATTTTTTTGCCTTTTTCTTTTACATCTGGATCGCTCCTTTTACTGGTTTGTATTCTTTCCACAAGCTGCTGCTTTTTGCCAGACAATGTTGCGTTACAAATGCTAGACCAGTGTTTTGCTGCTGGAGACTTGGCAACATTGCAGCCAACATGATAGAGACAGACAGTTGAGTGTTGTTTTTTTTTTTACTGTAAAAATCTTACTTAATTCATCTTTACCGTGGGTAATTATTGTTTTTAAGGTCAGTATTCAAATTTTAGGTGCAATATTGGATGCTGAAGGCAGGCATCATAAACAATAAACAACTAACTACTAAACTGTTTTACTTTAAATACTGTTCTGTTTTATTAAGGGTGTTATCAAACAAACAAATAATTTAATGTTTAAATTAATTAAATGAATGTTTCTCAGAAAAGGTTGATAATAAGTGAAAATATAACGTAAGAAAATTATAGGTAAAATAAATGTACCTAAAACTGAGCTTAATATTTTCAAAAACCCTTAGTAAGTACAGAGCAGCTACTTAAAAAACAAAACTAAATAAAAATGTGAAGTTGTTTAACACTAAAAATTTGTTTGGTTAACCAGAGGCCTGAATAATCCTCTCTGGTAACTGTTCTGCTGGTATTTCTTTATGCATTGTGTTACTTTGTGCGTAGTTTAAGAACAAAGCAAGCAAACTTCAGTAGCCCAGTGTGTATCACGTTACCTGTCCAAACGATGCGCATCACTTTAGGTTGTACGTCTATATTATATTTAGATACATGACGCAGGCTTTGGAATGCAGAGTAATGGTGGCACTCCCATCCAGAAAACAAATCTGGCTAATTCACACAATGACTTGCAGATTTTTTAGATTTTTATAGTCGTGAGTTTAAAACAGGGATTGGTTACGTGAAGGCTAATGTTATTTAAGCTTTCTGTTTGCACATGTTTCCGTTTTAGAAGGTGCAACAAGGAGTGCCCACGTTTCAGGAGTGTGGCAAGAAGCTTGTTGGTTTTACTATAAAGGAAAAAAAAATGAAGGATGAAAACCCTCAAGAATCAGAACAGAGTACCTCCCAAAGAGGCAGTGGTGGAAATGTTTCAGCTCTGTTCTCTGGAAAGCCTCTCTAATCTGCATTCTCCAGGGAGCATGGGCTGAGAGTTCATCCCAAGAGAAGTTGGTACATGAACAGCAGGCCAAAGATGGGTGAAAGGATGAGAGGGAGGGCGTGGGACTGCACTAAGGCTCTGACCCTCAAACAGATGGTCTCTGAGGGAACGAAGGATTGGACTCAGGTCTGATGTCTCCAGACTCTAGCTAGGAGTTGAAAACTCCAGCCCAGTTCACAGAGAGTTGGGAAATCATGAAAAAAAAAAAAAATATATATATATATATATATCCATGGGGAGAAGAAAGTCTGTTGGCTAGAATATGGTCATGGAGTGGTTAAAGGCTATGTGAACAGTTCGGTTCCCCTGCATGTCTGATGTTAGGTCTGCTTTGCTCTCTCAGCACTGCTGTTAAGTTTCATCTTACAGAGGCAAGAAAAGCCTGACAACAGTTGTTTAAAAAAAAAAAGAAAATACATAAATGGCCCACACTTGTATGGTGCCACTCAGAATAAGGACTCCAAAGAGCTTTACACCACAGTGTATCATTCATCCATTCACACACATTCACACACTGATGTTGATGAGCTACAATGTAGCCACAGCATCTGGGGTGCACTGACAAGAGGCGAGGTTGCCGAGCACAGGCGCCACCGTTCCCTCCGACCACCACCAGCAAGCAAGGTGGGTTAAGTGTCTTGCCCAAGGACACAACAGCAGAATTCTCTGTCCGGAGCCGGGATCGAACCTGCAACCTTCCGATTACTGGACAACCCGCTCAACCTGTTGAGCTGCTGCCCCATAAATGTAGTACAGGCAAACACATTTATGTAAAAAATAAATCAGCTTTCCAAATATTGTGGTGTATTGCAATTAATTCTAGGCATATGAATCTTAGAGCAACTCACGATTGGATTCGATTCCGATTGTTGGGGTGCCGATTCGATTCAGAATCGATTCTCGATTCTCAATTTAAATCGATTCACAATCAGTATTAACAAAGAGTGTCAGCTCCAGGATTGACTACTTTGTTGTACAAGTTAGTTAAAGCTATGGGACATTTTTATTTGACTTTAAACTAGTCATGCTCCAAAAATGCTAATTTACAATGTAAAATAAAGTGATTCTAAAACTGTAAACAGAAACAATCTTTTGACCAAAATTCAACATTTTTGCGTACCTTGTAAAATATAACAAATCTGTAGTTCCTTAACAGTAGCTTTGAAAGTAATACGGCCAAATACTTTTCAAGTATGTGTAGAAACAAGTTACATGAGTAATCCTGAGTGCTCATTTATCAACTTAGAAAATAAATATGAGAATATCTCAAATTTCTGAGTATGGAAAAAAATTACATTGAAGAGCCCTCTTATCAGCAGATTGAAACATAAATCATCACAATTTATGGGACCAACAAAAGTAAACGGAGTACTGACTCTCCTAATAAAGATCAAAAAAGTGCATCTCACACCTGTAACATGCCAAATATTTCAGTTCTTGGAATCGATTCTGAATGAGAATAAGCATAATCCTAAATTTCTTTTCAGTACAGTTGCTAAACTTACACAGAATCATAGCTCTGAGCCATCTATTCCCTTAGCCCTCAGCAGCAATGACTTCATGGGATTTTTTTACAAGTAAAATTAATTCTATTAGAAACAAAATCAGCATCCTCCCTAATGCGATTTCTTCTTCCTCAGTAAGTGAGGCAGCATCAGAGGTGACTGTAGAACCTCATCTGTGCTTGAACCGTTTTGATCCAGTTGAGCTTTCAGAGTTATCAAAAATATTAG